TATTGACAGAAAATATCACTTCATCAGGCATCATGTAGAAGAAGGACTCCTCATCGTCAAGAGGGTACCGTCAGAAGAGAATCTTGCAGATCACCTCACAAAGGTTCTGAGTAGGATTAAGCACATTCAGCATGCAAGGAACATTGGTCTGAAGGACGATATTAGTTTTAATGATTAGATAGATATTTTAGAAACTTGTAACAATATAAATATAATTGACATTGACGATTATGTAATGGAGATTTATATATAAGTAACCGTTTACTGTCTTTTGTCAATTGTTTATCTTGTGTTTCACTTTTTCATGTTTTACTTCTTTAATAATTGGATTGTTAAAACTATCCACAGTCGTTCATACTTTGTAAGTAAGTAGTGAATTAAGACTGTCATGAATTGGCTTGTAGATTGTCTAAGTGTTTAGACATAGAAATGATTTGCTACAACGTTTATGAGTACTCCTGAAATGGGGATGTGAGTATTGGATTAAACCTACGCTCATTTGAATTACTTCATCGAATTTATCACGAGTAATTATGAGACGATAATATTGTATAATCTTTAAACCGAGATATATGAGTTGTTGTTTACGAGTTGGTTGTGCATTGATAATGCGTAAATGCATTAGTAACTTGATGTTATAAAACACATTGTTGTGTATGATTGATGAGTAAATAATACAAGCGATATGTTGGGCCCCTCGATGATTTTGTGTTGACTTATGAGTCGGGCCCGATCAGGAATGAGTTGATGTGTTCAATTAAGCTCTTTTTTATACAAATTAGAAATCGGGAAACAAACTGTTGGACAATGAGAATGATTATATTCCATGTATTTTTCCGCATGATATCTTGAAGAACAGAAGATTATGTAATCCCTTATCTTAAGGACACACGACTGACTAGGTCAGAGTTAGACAACGGCTTTTGATAGCTATGATTTCTAATTAGATTCTGAAGTCGTACTTGAAATTATAGGTATTAGACTTATCCAAGTGGGAGGCTGTTGGATTAGGTGTCTAAGCTCATAACTATAATTGGTATGAACTTGATTTGATAGTAGCATGGTCCTTTTGGGTTGCCTTCACTTTAGCAACTTGATAAGATGACTTATGGAGAGAGAGGTTAATAAATGATTTATTAATATATTATGAGAATAATATATTAATTAGAAATCATATTATTTAATTAGTATTTGATCAGAAATTAATTTGGAATTAAATTTGGGATTAAAGGAACTAATTAAAAGAACGATGACTGTTTTGCAAATCATTGATAGTTGCAAAATTGGGTTGCTGGACTACTTTGGAATGGAGTGGACGAAATCTATAAGGATGCCTTATTGAATTCATCTAAGGATTCTAGAATAGGAGGTCCATGGACTACTTAAAGCGTAAGCAAGAAATTAGGGGTTCTACCTGAAAACCCTAGCAACCTCAGCTATTTAAAGACCCCTACACCTAGGTTTTTCGTCCAATGCTTAGAGCATAGAAACCCTAGCCGATTTCTGCATATTCCGTCCTCTCTCCTCTCATCCTCTTGCTATAAGTGTTTGTGAGCCATTAGAGGTGCAACATTTGGGGCACTAAGCTTTCAAAAGTCAAGATCAAGCAAGGAATTCTTGTTATTACTACATAACAAGCAACGTAATCTTCTTAACCCGTTTAATATCTGAATTTCGAATTATATATGCTAGATCTAGGGTTATTACTTTGGAATTTCTTTTGCATGTTCAATTAGTGAAAAACTTCGATCCAAAGCAATTAGGGTTGCATGAACACATAGGATGTTGTTATGCTCAAAACCCATCAGGCAAGACATCTCCTTCATGGCGCAACTTCCCTTCTTAATGGAGCAACAACATCTTCATGGCTCAACATCTCCTTTGCTCAACATCTCCTTGGCTTAATATCACCTTGGTGCAATTTCAGACATGAAGACGTATCATGTTATCATTTGGTGCAACATCCCCAAGGCTGGCGCAACTTCCTTCAACATGGCGCAACATTATGTTCCATGTTGCTCCAAGTGCTCCATGTTGCTCCAAGTGCTCCATCTTGCTCCAAGTTGCTCCATGTTGCTCCAACCCACTCCAAGTTTCTCCAACTCACCTTTCGGAAGATCCATTCCTTTGTTACTTGATCCATTCCATTTTCAGATGATCTGAAGCCATCTTAGCTGATCCGTTCCTTTGTCATTTTCTCCATGAACTACAAGTGCTCCATTGAGATCTAAGTGCTTCAAATGCTCCATGAGAATACTCCAAATGCTCGAGTCACTTTAACAGTCTCTAATTGCTTCATGTGTGCATTTGATGCTTTAAACTACCATCATATCATATTTTAATTTAGAAAACTAGATCAAATTCATATATATATATATATATATATATATATATATATATATATATATATATATATATATATATATAGCTTAAATGAACTTATTTATGGAAAATATAAGAATTGCCTCTACAAGATTGTTGAGAATTTTTCTCCCATCATGGAAATAAAATCTCAAGGATGTTAGAGAAAGATTGTTTGTCAAGGCGAAGAAATCTACAAAGCTTAGAAACTCAAATTGTGTAAGGTTGAGGAATGTTACAAATAATAGAAATTTCTCCAAGTGAACTATGAGGTTTTAGAATCGATACCGTCTCTTAGATCCATCTTCACATATCCCAATTTCCTCATGTATGTACATAATTTCATTTCATTTCATCAATTTTAATTAAATAACCAAAACTTTTACTATCTTTATTTAAAAGAGAGAAAGGAAGTTACGCCAGTTCACGATGACAGATGAAATAAAGCTGCTCAACCGCATTGCCTTGTTCCATAATCACTTCCCCTGGGAGAAAAAACTCTTCATACACTTTAGTTACAATTTGATTGATGAATTCTAAAGAACATCCTTTGAAAAGTGAAACTTTTTCAATGTATGACTTGTAGAGCGTTTGTGATATCCGAAAAGAATGACATTCACAACATCATTTCAAAGTACAATTTGCCTTAATAAGAAAAAAGATTGAAATTAAAAATGTTGTAACTCTACCTTCGTACGAATGGAATCGGAAGATCGCGAATAATAGTGAAATCAATGTAGTTGCTCTCATATTGTAATCGAAGGTGACCTTTTATCTGGTTTCATATGTCTCTCCCAAGTCTATTTCTATTAATATATTTAAGAAGATTTGTCATTCTATCTCTATATCTTTGTGTCATTGATCCTTTCACTATTAATGCTATCATTCACCGCATGTATTTCACCATGTCAAATGACACATAAATCATTAAAAATATTTCACCATGTACAAACAAAAAATCCACACAACTATGACATTGTACTTTTTATATTTATCTTAGGGAAAATGGCACAAAAGACATTATGTTTTCACTTTTTTCGATTTTGATACTGCATTATTTTTTGTTTTAAATAGAAGATCATATTTTCCTATTTTGTTTAATTTCAACCGTTTCATCAGACCAGAGTGTGTCATGCTGAGTTGGAAAATACGATGTCCAAATCATTAAAAAAAAGTGAAGATAGCGTCTTTAGAAACAAAATTGGAAAATGCACCGATAAAGTTGACAAAAAATGAAAATGTAATGTCTTTTGTGTTGGAAAAAAATGAAAAGGTCAAAATTGAAGATAGTTGGGAAATGCAGTGTTTAATGTCAAAATCGAAAAAATAAAAGAATGAAAAGGTGAAAACATAATGTTTTTTGTGCTATGTGCCCTTTATCTTATTAACACTATACTTGGAACAATCTATAATTTGGTAGATTATTCAAAGTACAAATTCATTTAAGATATTAATAATAAACAAATCAATGAAAGTACATTGTTATTTATAACAACTGTGATGGAGGTGAACTTAAACACGATCAATGCACCTGTTTTCCATGGCAAGTTTGAATCTACTGCCTCTCTGTTATTTACCCAGTTGAAGGATAGAAATTGAATCTCATCAAACACTATATCTTGATGATTATAACACCTATTAAAAACTCTGGAATTGCGTGTTTTCCAAAGCGACCATATAACTGTATAGCACAAGGCACCCAACAATTCTACTTTCAGATCCCCGCTTACACCATTGACGAACCCAATTCCAGATTCCCAAGTGCAGAAACCGCAATTTATCAATTGAATCCATCCAAATCGCAGAAAATTTATCAACTTCAAACAGATTGGTGATTACACAAAAGTGTGAATCCATTTCCATAGTAGACTCAGAGTGGTTGAAGTGTAGTTCAGGATGGTTGAAGTGGATATCAATTAAAAGGTATGTATTGGTGTCTTTCCTCATTTTTCTGTGCTATCTTCTTCCAACACTCCTATTGGGATCACTTGTACATGCTCCTTGCAAAAATGTTAGTCTGATGAATATTAACTGTTTGATGAAATGCCTGGATGAATTTTATTTATTTTTTGAATTTAATGCCACATCAGCTGTATGGTATTGGTTTGTTTATAGTGCAGTGTTGTGATTTCATAGAGTACTTGATAACAAAGAATATTTACAGAAAATAAATGGTCTCCAAACATTTGTTAGTTATGCCCCAAACATTTTGTACACACCCAATATTACAGAATGAGAGAAGTATGGTTTTCAGGCAATGCTATTGATATATTAGCTAACATTACACTTTAAAATGTGAACCAGACTTACTTATTTTTGTAGCTAGTTAATGTTCTTATATCCTTGGCAAAACTTGGTTAACATTAAATAGCATGTCTTTGGAAAAATTTGATGCCCATCAATATATGTGGAGGGAGAGCCCTTGTTTTACTTCTTTCCTGATTGCAGTAACAATGTTCACAAATGACAATCACTTTGCAATTTCTTCCATGATCCATTGAGTATCCATGCATGAAACTACTGGTGCCAATTTGGTGCTAGCTACCAGTAGACATGGAAGGGAGATTCAGATGAAGAAGCTTTTTATACTTGCATTAATAAGATTACATCTAACACGCAGGTGGTCAAAGCTTGACTTTTTTGTGATGGTGTTGTCCTTGGTTTCCAGTAGTCAGTTTTTAGAAGCATAGTAATTTGCATTTACTTATTTGTTCACAAACATATGTGAAGTTTCTTAACAAAAAGCTATTCAAATGAATACATATTGACAAGATGCATATATATAGGGAACTTAAGAAAAGTAAAAAGAACACTGAAAGTAGAATATATTGATCAAGCAAGAGATGTCAATTCAAAGCAGATCCTTCGTTAACCGATTTGAAACTTGTTGCATTGTTGGTCTTTCATGTGGATTGGAGTTCAAACATGCTCTTGAGAGACTCAAAACCAACTTAACTTGTTTCTCAACTTGGGATGAGGGAGGATGTATCCGACTATCTCCCACGTTTGCTTGCACCAAATAATCATCATCATCAGACAATGTTGGTAAAGATGTTATGAGATCTCCTGGATGCTTTCCCATTATCACTTCTACTGGAACAACTCCAAAGCTATACACATCGCATTTCTCATTTGCCACCATCGTATAAGCAAGCTCTACATCCAAAGACACATGAGATAAAAACAAAAAAGCTATATCAACCCCACAAGATTCTAACATAGATACATATATGTACATATACATATTTATATATATCATAAAAGTTAAGAAGATGTAGAACTACAATCACAATATAGTATTACCTGGCGCGATGTAACCATAGGTGCCAGCAATTGCAGTCCAGTTGGATGAATCGAGCTTTAAAATCTTGGATGTGCCAAAATCAGAAATATGTGCCTCATAATTAGAATCAAGAAGGATGTTGGCTATGGATATGTCTCTATGAGTTATAGGTGGTGAGCAGTCATGATGCATATAAGCCAAACCATTAGCTACACCCTTTACAATATTTACCCTTTTCAACCAATCCAATTCTTTTGCCAAGACATCGCTTCTTAAGATTGATTCAAGGCTTCCATTTTCAAGGTATTCATAAATCAGAAATGAGTGGCGGACATGGGAGCAATATCCATAGAGTTTCACTATGTTTCGATGCCTTATGTTCGTTAATGCTCGTACCTCATTAAGGAATCCATTATGATCAACATTCTCAGATGATGGGTGTAGTTTCTTGACAGCTACCACATGGTCAGGTTGTAGCTCAGCTTTGTAAACTATACCATATCCTCCGGTCCCAATGCAGTATGCTTCATCGAAATCATTTGTTGCTTTCAAGATATCAACATACACCACTTTTCCATCAAAACTTGTAATAGAGAAATAATCACCGATTTCTTCATCCGATGGTTTTTGTGGAGACTTTTTCTTTCGTTGTTGATAAGCAATGAGGCGGTACGTGAATACACCAAGTAAAACAGACCCGATAAGAGGGAGCATAATTACAAGGATAAGCTTATGATGAAAGGGATCATTTTTCTTCTTCATAGTTTGACTTGGACAAAGTTTCACTCCCGTAACATTCCCACACAAATCTGGATTGTTTTCTATGGACGCATTCACAAAGTTAGCACAAGGGGGGATTGGACCTGACAGCTTATTGAAAGAAAGGTTGATATGAATCCCGTTAGGCAAACTTGTAAAAGCATCAGGAATAGAACCAGATAGTCTATTGTGAGAAAGATCCAATTTTATCAAACTTTGCAGACTTTGAACTTCAGATGGTATCTCTTTTATGAGAAAATTCTGAGATAAATCAAGTTCTGTGAGCTGAACTAATTTACCAATCTGGGAGGGAATTTTCTCACTGAGCTTGTTATTACTAAGATTCAAGTAGTGGATATGTGCCCATTGACCAATACTTGTTGGAATCGACCCATTCAATCTATTTTTGGATAGATCGACTACTTCAAGGAGTTCACAAATTCCAAGCTCCAGAGGTATAACGCCTGAAAGTTGGTTGCCAGCCAAGTACAGTTCCAACATACTTTTTATCTTCCCAAACTTCTTTGGGATCTCACCAACCAAACGATTTGAAGACAGATTAAGTCTTCTTAGTTGAGTTAAATTTCCAAACTCTGGAGGAATAGAACCACTAATTTGATTGTTGTTCATCTGAAAATCAGTGAGAGACTTCAACTTCCCAAGTTCACTAGGAATGGGACCAGCAAGCTCATTGTAAGACATATAAAGGAGATTTAAAGATGTCAAATCACCAAACGATGAAGGAATAAAACCACTAAGCTGATTTACTCTCACCGAAAGACGAGTGAGAGACTTCAACTTCCCAAGTTCACTAGGAATGGGACCAGATAAATTATTCCCCTGGAGGTACAATGTCTGTAGGTTGCTGAGGTTTGCTAGTGATGAAGGAATAGAACCACTAAGCAGATTGGTGCTCATGAAAAGTTCAGTGAGAGACTTTAAATTCCCAAGTTCAATAGGAATGGGACCAGAGAGTTGATTTTGGTGCAAATAAAGGACATTCAAAGATGTCAGATTGCCCAGTGATGAAGGAATAGAGCCATTAAGTTGATTGTGGCTCACCTGAAGATCAGTGAGAGACTTCAAATTCCCAAGTTCAATAGGAATAGGGCCGGTTAGTTGATTTCTGTACAAATAAAGGAAATTCAAAGATGTCAGATTGCCCAGTGATGAAGGAATAGAGCCACTAAGTTGATTGGTGCTCACATGAAGAATAATGAGAGACTTTAAATTCCCAAGTTCAATAGGAATGGGACCAGAGAGTTGATTGTTTTGCAAAAAAAGAACATTCAAAGATGTCAAATCACCCAATGATGAAGGAATAGAGCCATTAAGTTGATTGTAGCTCACCTCAAGATCAGCAAGATACTTCAAATTCCCAAGTTCAATAGGAATGTGACCAGATAATTTATTCTCACTTAGGTACAGAAATTGTAGGTTACTCAGGTTTGCTAGAGATAAAGGAATAGAGCCATTAAGTTGATTGTGGCTCACCTGAAGATCAGCAAGAGACTTCAAATTCCCAAGTTCAATAGGAATAGAACCAGAGAGTTGATTTCTGTACAAATAAAGGAGATTTAAAGATGTCAAATTACCCAATGATGAAGGAATAGAACCACTAAGTTGATTGTGGCTTACAGCAAGATCGGTGAGAGACTTCAAATTCCCAAGTTCAATAGGAATGGGACCAGATATATTGTTTGAGTATAGGTACAAGATGGTTAGTGGGTGCAGGGTTCCTATTTCAGGTGGGATTACTCCAGAAAACATATTCTTAGAAAAATCAAGATGGATAAGTTTGGACAAGTGTCTTATTGCTGGTGGGATGGGGCCAAAGAAGTTGTTTAGACTGAGATCAAAATGCGTAAGATTGCGTAGCAAAGAGAATGAAAATCGATGAAGCGTACCCTTTAATCCAGATGATGTGAGGTTCAACCTCTGAATGCTCCCATCAGCATTGCAAACTACTCCAATCCAAGAAGTGCATGGAACTGATGCACTGGAATTTAAAGGGAGGGGAATCCATGAAGAGAGCAAGGAGTTGCTGGGGATTTGAAGGCTTGTTTTCCATTTAAAAAGAGCATTGGCTTCCTCCAAAGAAGCAGAACTGAAATTTTGTCTGTGGGAGAGTGTTATGATTAGTAGAGCCAGAGAGAAAAATAACAAGTTTGAAGAAGACATTATTTGCTTTGTCATGTTGCTTTTAATAAAAAAGGAAAGGTTTGCATGTCCTAATTTATACTTGAGCTACCTTAAGCTTTTTCTGTTGTCTTCTTTTTTCACGTGCTTGAAGAGGAAATTTGGACAATTTAATAATTTTCCACTAGGCGTGTCTTTTATATAACGTGTGATCAAACTTTTCCACAAAGATGTGTATTACACTTTGAATTGTATGTATCTGTCATGACATTAATCCTTTTTTAGAACAATAGAATTCATTGTAACCTGAAGTTTAGCAAGGCGCTAGGATAACAAAAAGACAACATGCCATATTATATGTTATTGCTGGATTTAACAATATAATAATATAACTTAACTAGATTATTTAGATGTATTTATTTTTGTTTTCTGATAAGTGATAATAGAAGTTTTACTCAAATTGTGTGTTACTTCATAATCAGTTGTGTAACTGATGATTATTATATTAATAATAAGCAGGTGAAAACAGTGTGAATGGGTCAATATATATAGGGACATAAAGGTCCTTTAAAAGGACATAAAGGTCCTTTAAAAGAATCTGAAAAACAAATGGACATGGTGTGTTCATTGAAGGCGTGAATGAGGAAAAATCGTAAATTAAAGAATTTAATATGAAGATAATTAAATAAAAAGTGATGGTTCTTATTGTTCCCTGCATGTATTTCATAAGTTATTTCCTTTTATCTCCTGAAGCAGTGGGTATCCAACTCAAATAAAATGACAAAATAAGCAAAAAAAAGTAATTATTGGACGGGATTGTCAATAATATTATCTAAAACAAAAATTATATTAACCCTAATCCCAAATATCAAACCTAACTTTAACAAAAGCTCATAAATATCTTAAAATTGCTACAGGGGAGTTCTTATATTCTAAAAACAATCAATAACCAACATAAATAAATCAAATAAAAAAAAGCAATATCATTTATAAACAATAAAAAACTACCAAAATACACTTTATTAATAAACAAATATATAATTTAGTCTACTTTGGAATATATATATATATATATATATATATATATATATATATATATATATATATATATATATATTTGCAACATGGGTTTCTAAAAGTGTTCTTTACCTTTTACTAATGAAAGATCAAAATAGACTAAGTCCAAATCAAGGTACAAATTGTATAAAATATAATATACTAACCTTAGGTATATACGAACAACTTGTCTAACTAGAAGATCATTCGTTCAATCCCAAACATATAGTAACTACGTCGTTTGAAAAAAAAAAAAAGTCTGGATCAAGGTATAAGTTTTATAGAATATAATATAAATTGTGAAACAACCATTTTCCTGAAAATAGCAAATTTGCACCTATTATTAATAATTCTCGTATTTACATTTTCTTCTCTAAAATAATTTCGACTAAATAATTTTTATTCTTCATAATTTAAACTTAAATTATTGGTAATTTTAAGTTATGATTTTAGTCCTTACTATATTTTAAATTTATGGTTTTGGTTCTTTACATAATTGTTTTTATAGTTTTTATTTTTATTAATATTACTTTTTTATTTAAACGTTTAATTAATAAGTTCAAGTTTTCACACTTTATTTTGAATGTCTACTCCATACATAATTGTTTGGTTTGAAACCTTATTTTATACTTTTATGATCCAATTTATATAGGATTTTTCCGCCGCAACGCGTGGGGCGACGAAATACTTGTTATTGTTACTTTGAAACAACAATCGTGTAACGTGTGTAAGTTGTGATATGATATTGTTCATAACTAGGGCTGTAAACGAATCGAACGAATACGAACGAGACTTGTTCATGTTCGTTCGTTTAAGTTAACTGAACAAATGAACGAACAGTAACAGTTAAACGAACGAGTTTTCTTGTTCATGTTCGTTCGTTTAACAAATTACATTGTTTATGTTCGTTCGTTTATGTTCGTGAACATGTTAAACGAACATAAACAAACGAACATAAACGAATAAAGATAAACAAACATATATGAACATAAATGAACATATAATATAGTAATGTAATAAACACACTTAAACATATATAAAGATAAAAGGAACTTATATAAATGAACATAAACAAACGTAAACGAACAACATAAACGAACGTTCACGAACATAATTAAACGAACGAGACCATTGTTCATGTTCGTTCGTTTAACTAAACGAACGAGAATTTGTGCTCATGTTCGTTCATTTATTAAATAAACGAATATAAATGAACTTCCCGACGAACGGTTCACGAACAGTTCGCTGAACATTCAGTTCGTTTACAGCCCTATTCATAGCCAAGTACTAGTGCCTAGTTGCAGACTACTTTTCATCTACTGAGTACGACTTTTTAGCTTACTAATATTACCAACAGGCAACATGCAATAGAAGTGAAACTCTATTCTAGTTATTTCATCTTTCACTTCCAATTTACCAAAGTAAAGGCGAGACTAGAGAGAGAATAAATACCGACAAAAAGAAGGGAGCGCAAGTGAGGTGAAGACAAGAGTGGAGAAGCAACAAGCAGGTGGTTGGTGGTCGCCGGAGAGGAACATATGACAACAGAAATAGGCAGCAAGTGGCTGAGATGAGCCGAACCGCTTTAGTGATGTGGAGGCGGAGAATAAACTAACAATAAAAAGTGAAATACAAGTTATGTTATGGTTTGTTTCAACTGATTAGTTTACACAATCCTTAGAATTCATCTTCACAAAATTTTTGATGGAAATAAAAGCCCAATATAACTTCGATTAAATAGTTAGAGGTTGTTTGTTTTTTTTAGAGAAACCTCTTCAGAAATTTTTTTTGCTGGGCGACGCAACACACGCACAACATTTTCCTTCTTGCAGCAGTTTGTTTTTTTAGAAGACTTCAGACTATAAAATCTATGTGTGTGTTCTGCGCGGCCCAGCACTTGACTTGTCTCTTCAAACATCTTCAAATTTCATTTTTTCCAAATGATTTTTTTTAGAAATTTGGTATAACTTGATTTTTTTTTTTTAAAAAAAATTTGATTTATGGATTTGATACAATTTCTTTTTATAGTTTCCATAATTTTTTATAACTTGATTAAAAAAAAACTTTGATTTTTTTAATTTTTTCTTTTAATAATATTTTCAGTTTCGGTTGCATCTTTTTTAATATGTGTGATTATTTTACGAATTTTCTAGACATTGTTTGCAATATTTTCTTATTTTTTTATAATTTTCTTTTTTTATGTTATTTAAAATTAGTTTTTTCTAGAAAAAAACTAATAGCTTTTTTTTCACATTTTTTTAGATTTTTTTAAAAGTTATATATTTTTGCTTTTTTACATGTTATTTTTAGTATTCTTTAAATGTTTTAAGACCACAATTATTAAAATTTCAGTTTTGAGAACTATTTTCAGTTTGTAAAATCAGTTTATTTAAATTTTATTTTATTGTTGCAGCCTGCAGATGTTAAAAAACAAACATGCTTTTTATTATAAGTTGCAACTGTATGGTCCACCTCTTCTCCTGCAAATGATTTCATTTCAGAGGTAGTCCGCAGACTTCATGAATTTTCGCTTCGAAAAAACAAACAACACCTTAGACATATTTATTTTTGTTTTCCAAGTAATTTTAATAAAACCTTAATTATAAAAGCAAACATACCTATCAAATTGATCAATGCTCCCAATTTACCAGCCAAAAGAAACGAGGAATTATGTCTTGAAACGAAGCAACACCAAAAAAAAACTATAAACTTTGATATCTTCGCATCGTAAGAAAGAATTCTGCACATGAAGCTTTAAGATGAATGCAAGGGCAACACCAAAAAACGGTTGAATTTCGCCAAAGCAACACTAGGGGAAAAATGGTCAAAAGTTGAATCAAAAAGGAGAAAGCCATCTCACAGCATGTATGCAACAGTACAAAAAATGTTAATTTCACCAAAGTAACATGAGGGGCAAAACAATAAAAAATTGAATCGAAAGGGAGGAAGCCATCTCACAACATGAATGTACACCACCATAAAGATTTATGAAGGACATCCATCCAACAACAATTACACAAGTGTAAAAGGGAAGCCAACAAATTTTTATCAGCTTACACAGTTAACAAAACCAATTCAAGACTCCCAAGTGCAGTAACCGCAACCAAATCATCTGAACCCATATCGATTACCAAATTCATATTGAATCCATTGGAAACCACTACTAAATCATTTGAATCCATCCAAATCATAAAAAAATTATCAACTAAAAACAGATTGATGATTCTTCAAAAGTGTGAATCAATTTCTGTTGTAGACGCAGAGTGGTTGAAGTGTGTTGAAATATATACTTGTTTATCAATCTTAACATTAATTTTGTTTAAGGGTTGTTTATGTTATTCGTGATATAGTTGTGGGGTATTGTTGTTTATTCATTGCGGATGTCGGTTTGTGCATGGGTCATGGGTCGCTCCATGGTGCTCTGCGCGTCTTTATTATACCAAGCTACTTAATATGTATTTCATTCATTTTTTCTCTAACTCCCTTTAAACTTAGATATTTTTCTCTCGTCTCTCCGAAGAGACTTCCGATTAGGGTTTTGTGTAATAGTTGTGTTCTTTAGTTCTTGCTTAATAATCAGAGCATGAGTGTATTCTGTAGTGAGATTTCCCTTGTAAAAGTTCTATACGAACGATTTGGTTTACAATAAAAAGTAAACTGATCATGTTGGGAAGTTCTTGAGTTTCTAGTTTCTTAACAGGGTATCAGAGATATAGGCTATTCGATTGCTATTGTACATCGATCTTCAAAGCTTGTGTGTTAGTAGTTTATCTCTATTTCTGCTTTCTTTGTTGTGTTTCACATTGTTAAACCTTTTAGATTTGATACAAATCGTGTCGGATATAGGGTTTTGACTTGCTATCGATTGGTACTGCGAACTGATCTGATGATTCCTGAGTTAATCATTTCAGATGTTACTTTCTTAGATCTTGTTACTGTGAAGTTTTTTGTAACATCCCAAAAACCATGTTAAGGGTCGGGATGAC